TGAAAATATTGATATATGTATTTTACAACAATCTTCCAACTTACCGCAACTCTGTTTATGCTCTTAATGAGGTTTAAGTTTCTATTTAGTTTTAGTTATTTGGTTGCTTGTTTAATTTTTTCTCATGCTAGCTTACTTATGTACTAATAATATAATTGATGTGGTAAACTTGTTTAATTTTTCTTCATGTCCTCTCAAACGACTGACCGATTTTGATGAAATTTTTGTGTGTGTGTATCTGGGAATAATATAATTATGTCGGTACTTAATTTGCTTAATATCCTAATGATGATATAGTTTTCTTGTATAATTTTATGCATACACGTTGTTTTAGAACTTATAAATAAATAAATACACTCCTTTTAAGTATTATCTAAAGAATAAAATTATGAAACCGTCCAAATGAATCGCATGTATTGTAATGTAAGGCACAAATATAGCAATAGGAATATAATAGGTATTGGTACTAAAACCAGACACTTAAAATTAAGGCAAACAAATTTGGATTATGGTAACTTTTGATTGAGGTAACAGGAATGTTTACGCAGTGTTTTGTTTTTTAAAATAAAAGACAGCCTATGAAAATGGTTTTAATTTACATCTCTCGTCATATAATAATATGTGTTGTAATGTCATAAGTAGGTACTAAATACACATATAACAATAAAACTCCTATACACTTTGTACGTAATTAAATTATCAGAGAAATAAGCATAATGAATACATTGAAAGCCCGTAAATGTTTTATAGCTGCGTAGAAAAAATCTCAAACACAAGAAATATTGGAAATTGGTTTCCATCCTATTCCTTAAGTGGAACAAACGATAAATATTTTGCGCCCTCAGGCATTTATTACAGAGATTTCAATTTATAAATATCTTCCTATAGGTACATTATATTTTAGGTATTATTCGACATTATTTAAATTCTCAAACTAGGTGTAATGGTAAGATATAAGCTCTAGCAATGATATCTCATAATAATAGTTATTCTAATTTAATCTGGTATAAAATTTATTTCATAGATATTCATTATAAATTAAAACAAGAACCTTTTTATTACATTTTCAATTTGATATTTACATTAAAAGCTTTGCTTTTGGTTGTAATGATCAAAAATATATACATATGTACTTCATTTCCGTCGGGAGTTGGGTATTAAAAGATAAAAGAAGTCATTTGTCAGCTTCTTAAAAGTCTAAAATTAAACCAATTTAAAATACACTTTATGTAAAATAATGCCACCAGGTGATCTCATATACTAAATATAAATGTCTTCTAAAAGTAATGGTTTTATGATTTATTATTGCCGATATTTAAAATATAAAGGAAGAAGAGTATGTCGAATAGTGAAATTGAGATCTTTTTCAGACCGAATTATACAAACCATTCTTAATTATACATAATATGTAAAATATATAAAAGTATATATTATGTATTTCATGTTTGGTTTGTTTTTAGTATACTTAATTGCTTTTTTGTTATGCTATAGGATTAAGAAATAAATTAACAAATAAAAAAAAAAAATAGGGTTGAGGTGAATAAACTCAAGGCCTGTACTTTGTTTTAACAAAATTCTTCTATTATACTTATTTGGAGTCTCTGAAGTACAACCTCATTAAAATTAATACAAAGAAGTTTTTGTACTATTGACGAAGTCGTAATTGGACTATGTTCAATTACTATGTAGTTCTGTCATAAATTTCCTTTTATTTCTCTTACAAAGTTGCTGACAAATCAATTTGTTTGTCGCAAGAGCTTACCCTTATTGATAAAACATCAGTTATTAAGAAATTTGTCTTTTTCTATTAACTTGTGCTCATGCTGTGATGAATGGAGCGAACTGGGTTCTAATTAAAATGCCGATGTAGATTATTTAAAATTTATTTATTATTATATACACCCAAAACGGGCAGTCATCGCAGCCCATTTTTAGTGGGTGCGTTGGCGGCCTTTGAGGGAGGTGTATACACTTTAAACAATTGGAGGTCGTATCTCTCAGGGGAGACCCCCAGCGGGATTGGATTCCAAGGTTCGCTAATACGTCTGATTTAGTAGGTTTTCATTGTTAGTTTTCAATTATTTTTGAATATAATATCCACTACAAAATCAATCTGATATATGCGACTATTAATCAGAATCTATTTAGTGATTAAAGAGTAAAAACATTTCATACAAAAACCTATCCGCGTTCTATTAACATTCTCCCCTTTTTAATACAAAATTTGTTTTTTAATTAAATAAGTATTTTCATACAATTTTGTATCGTTACAGGCGTGTAGGCGGTAAGGCTCGGGCGCGGCTACTCGCGGTCGACCCTTACTAACAGGTGAGGAGGCGACGCCACATGAACATGATACTAAGGTTTGAATTTTTACTTTATTTTGACTTGCATTAGATTTATTTTTGCTTGATCGCCTTTCTGTACTTACCATTTTTTAGTTTAGAGATGCTTAAAATGTATGGAAATAGTATTATATTAAATGACAAATGGGGTTTATAAGTAGGATTTAGCCTATGATTTCTATAAACCAACTTACAACATGTTTAATTTTATACCGATTATTATCTTAGCATAAATTTGGTAGGATCATAATATAACTTAATAATAAATTTATAATTAGGTATAACTTCTTATATATAAGTGGAAATTATAGCAATTATCAGGTCAGCGAGTGTCTCATTAAATTAATTTATTAATTTAACTCGCGCAAATTATAATAATATATCATTAAAATCTGTTAAAATTAATATTTTCCTTATCGCAATGAAAGTCAGTTAACAAAACGTTATCGAAGTAGACTTACCCAATTTTGATTAGAAACATGCTAAGTTTCATTGTACAATTGTATATTTTCCCAAAACACGCCACACATTCGATTACATTTGCGGCCGGATTTTCGTTTCTCCCTCTGCCAAAACATACTTTTATAGCAAAACTTAACAAACATATTACTTTTTTCTGACACGAATATCCGTAGAATATAAAACGGACAGGTAAAGACATAAAATGCAGAAATACATGCAGGCGACGTGTTCGTCGTCAAATGTTTATATAAATTTATCTTTACTTTAAATACTTTAATATTTCGATTATAAACCTTATCCATAAGAGAATAACATAAAAATAAATATCATATTTTTATTAGTTCGACCGAGTAAAGCTTCCTTATAAGTTTATTGCTTATGAAAAATAAAGTGTAACGAAAAGAAATTAACGTTCTATAACATAAGGAAATTATTGTATCACAAGTTGAATAAGTTACGGAAATTATGGTTTGAAAGGGTAACATAATACTGCTTATGTTTGCCGCCGAGGCATGTTAATTTTATGTTTTAATTTATCGCTCAGCAAATTATATACAAAAAGTCCCAACATTGTAGCGATTGTAACATCTATGGGGACAATATAATCTTGGGTTACAAATATTAATTAACCTTTACAAAGCTTGCGTATTACTCGTGTCTTAAATTTAAGCATTTCAATACATTTCAATTTATTACCTATAATACATTTCGATATCTACAGGACCAAATTGAATTAAGATTCTTTACGTAACAAGCTGTGATCATCGCCATCTTAGATATAAGAAAATTCGTTCATCGCACGCAATGCGTTGGTAAATCGAATTCTAAATCGAGTTATCGACGATCTATTCCGGCCGATTGAACAAATCACACGTCCTTGGCGATAGTATCGGTTTGTGAATCGAATACCGAGTTTAAGACCACACTGCCACATGGCTTAGTATGGGTGTCAAGTGGTGAACGCCTAAAATGGTCGTAGTTCCGATGGGAATTTGTATAGATTTGATGGTCGTTGGCTTTTGCTATTAAAATTCATTACGCACTGCAATATTTGAATGCGTAAGCTGTAAATTATGAAAATGATGAGGTAGGTACGTTTGTGCGTAAGCGAATTGATAAATAAATACTTCCCTACAAGAAATATTTTTACAAAAAACGTCACCGAATCACATAGAAATGTTAGAAATATTTTAAATCGTTAAACTTTTTGCTCGACGTATTTAACTGAATAACTTATTATATAAAAAAATAAAACATAACCTTTACCCAAAGTTTAAATTACATACTTATAGGTATTTTTGATAATTATATCGGTAATTATAATATTACATCAGGTGGGTAAGCAGCGCACCCGGTAAATAACTACCAGGCTTGGGTTTCCCCCCCAAATACATATTGTATTGAAAAAGAGATTCAAGGAGTCTTAGGATAAATATTCTACAGTTTAAGCAATATAAATAAAGGAATAATAGAAAAGGTATTTTGTCAAGCTATACATAAACCTTGCTTGCCGCTTTAAATCTACGAATTAAGTATTTATAATTGTTTAATCACGCGGGGCGCTTTAGCCATGTAACAGACCTGAGATTGGTATGTATTCCTATTATTATTGGACTATTCCTATGTATCTTGCTTGAGAACATCAGCTAAAGTATTCAGTAGGCATTTATGAAAGACGTACCTCGTAATCGATGTTTATCGGACAATCGCCGGTGGACCGTCACCAAATCGCAGTTAGAATTGCAAATGAATCGGCCGTTTGCTTTCGTGTCGTAAACCCAGGGATATGATCCAGTCACTTTTCGCGCCATTAAACTCTCGGACCGAATCCCCTTGCTGTTATTATAAATATGTCTCGTTACGTAAACAGATCAATCATATGTATACAATATATTTCACTATAGACAATTACGCAAAGAAATATATTGGATGAATAATTGGAAAATAGAAATAAATTCATTATATAGGTACATAGTCTGGTTTAGTTATTCTCTTGTTTTTAGTTTTTAAAGGTCTAATTGATGTTGTATAACTTTTTCCATTCGCCTTAGCAAAACTAAAGCCTGTAAGGGCCGTAACTTGGTTGGCTAGTGAGTGGGAGATTACCATGAAGTAGCGGGCATCAGTAGCTCGTAGAACTCCTTGTTACTTTTCAATGTTTGATTACATTTTGAGTTAGTAAATTTCTTTATAATGTGCTATTTCGCCGCAGGTTAGTTATTCAAAATTTTCTGAATTTATTGATTCAAGATTTATGCATTTCCAGAGTTGAATAGGTTATCCTTATCATCTTTTATTTTCTTCTTTATAGTCAAGTGAGTGATTAGCCTGCTCTAACATATTCGTCAAGAAAAATAACACCAAGTTGTTGTTATCCAGTTCACGAATATTCAATCTTTCTTTTTTTAAAAGCTTATCTCACCATTTAGTAAAGCCGGTATATTTTAACCAACAAGTTATGTAGATAACGAATTCTGACAGTCTGAGATATGTGCATCCCAACTAGTCCTGTCACCACACCAATGAAAACGTTTCAGCCAGCATCACATGACCCATCTATAAACACCCCTCTCCCTATGAAAAAGCGTACGCGACAGTTCTAATTAAATTGGTAATGAAAAGTCGTGGGCCAAGCGGCTTTCGCTTTGGAATTGAGTCGTAAATGTCGCGGCGGGCTCTGTGCTATAGTTATAATACTATTTATCCATACAAAATAAAATAGAAAAAAGCCTTGTAGTGATTGAGTCGCTGAAGTTAATTATAGTATCGTACTGGTTTTGTAAGGGAAATTATAAAAGATTATCTAAATTAAAATTATTCAAATTTATCCAGCCATTGCTGTTTATCAAACTAAAATATTCGTTACAAAGAAGTATTGTTATTTTCAGCGCAAAGTGCGTCAATGTATCATTCGATATTTTAAATCTTAACCGATATCAGGATTTGTGAACTGATAAGAAAAAAATCGAATTGTAACTATCAAGTTTTTGTACACAACGGCATTCCAGTGTTTATATTATGTGCTCACAAATGCGTGTACCTAAGATTAAAAATACAGCCAACAGAAATTTTTGACGCACGTGAAAATCTGTAAAAAATCAACAAGAGTAATTGTTACAAAACACAGAACAGAATTTACGATCGTTAACACGTCCAAGTCTTAGATCGTTAAATAAAAAACCCTGTAAACATTTTTTTCTAATATAAGTGGGTTGGTGCGATCCACGGGAAAAAAAGCCGTGGCAATCGGCGCAAATCACCTATTTTATGTAAACTTCGTGACTTTCCACCATATCGAATGACTTAGAAAGGATTTATAAGGTTAAGAATACGAGCAAACGCAGGGCTTTGTCAATTTGAGTGATGGGTGGAGCTCGGCCTCCGAAAATAGACTGACATGTGTTCTGCTGGTACCGGTTGAGGCGAACTGCTTCTAACCTTATTTTCAATGATATTTGTAGCTTAAATTTAATACAATAGTTGATTTACTGACAAACAACTCAGTTATACGTTTAAATGAGAAAGAATTCTTCTTTAAGAAGACATTTCGGGCGTAATTTCTATCTGTATTAAGAGCTATTATTATAATGCTGATATATTATCGTTTAACTAGAAAAAGCTCAGTTGGATCAACGAAAATCTTTGAAGATTTTCTTCTTAAGCTTTTGCTTGCTTTATCGTTTTCGTGTGTTTTATTTGTCTGCTTTCTTAGTGTAGTAACTTAGTAGCTAGTAGTAGGTAGTGAATGTTTTTATCATAACATAATAGATCGATTAGGGCAAAAACTTTTTTATGTTTTAATTATTTTATGAAACATTTTCAGGTTACAGTGCCCGTTCACGCAGACATCGCTTGCTAGTTTACGACAAGGTGAATATCTTATCTGGTTATACATAGATGCTATATATATATTTTTATTTTTAAAGAACACATTTTATTATAAAAAGAATTAGCACGTAATATAAGTTTTGAATTACCAAAACATTAAAGACATAAAGTCCATAACACTGATACAATCCCAGAACAAATTTAATATATATCTATCCTGTATTTAAGACAGTGTACGAACGTAGATAGAAAGCGCTATTAACATGCATCGTACCATTGGCCCGAGTTTCCTAATGTAAATATTTATAGACGGGCGCGGCTCAGGCTATGTTTGTGTCTGTCACTCAACGACTCTGAACCCAGCATCACATTCAATACAGCTTTCTCTTAAGGCCAATCTTTATAATGTAATTACTATAGCTAATATTTTTATAGTACATTAATACACAAAGTATTTTAAGTTTTAGTCATTCGTATTTTTGTCCGATACTGTTAGACTAGTTAATGTTTCTTTATGGCTGTTTTACTCTGTACATTCCGCATTGTTATATAAAGTTTCTTTTTCAATTCAATATATTTGGAAGCTATTGAGAATTGCCGCGAGCTCGATAATTTGAAGCCAAACCGATCCAAGAGATAAGAATTTCAATGGATTATATTGATGGTATTAAACAAAATTTTCTTACTGGTTTTTATATAAAGAAGATGTTTCAACTACATTCATCTTATAAAATATTGTCGCTATCAAGTATTCGGTTTTCTCAAGAATAGTTCTGACGTAAGACTAATGGAAATTGGCTAACATAAAAGTAACATTTTCTATAGAGAGACTTATTCTACTGCAAAAATACTTATTAGTGGTTACCTAGTACACCTTGCGTTCTATTTCCATTTGAAAACATAACTAAATGCTGAATTAAATGACCTTTAATTTGCAGAATTAGAAATTAGAATGAGAAAAAGTAGAGCTACTATTCTATGTTATAATCCATACAAGAAAAAGATTATTTGAATCAACCGTTTCACTATTGTTAATATCATAATTACTCTCACGTGTGAATTAATTCTTTGACCCAAGAGGACATATTTTATTTCGACAAGTCGGTCTTATTATAATAATGCGTTGAATAAATTCGCATACAATACTTATAGCATTACTTAGCGTGTTATGTGTTTTTTCTTTTGTTAACTTGACATATTTTATCGCTGTTTCTTGTGTAAACAGAACATGTATTTTCTATAGGTGTGAAATGTAAGGGGATTTATTGGTTGTAGTACATTCTTTTCTTCGGTTTGTTAAGGGTGTTCTTTGAGGGGTAATTTCAAAGCGAATAAGGCATATTTTAAAACCACGTGGATAATAATTGGATTTAAGGGTAAACGTACTAGTGTAACAGTGAAAGTCCTAAGATAGTAAAAATTGTGAGTCAGAGACCGCGACCTTGCCATTGACATAGATTATAATTATAATTTTAATATGTCTAGTCTAGGATTGTTCGCGGTGAAATTAACAGACGATAAAATTAAGTTTATATTCACAATAAAACGTGAGTGAGTTGCCGTCATAAAGTCTCGCGTTTTTTATTGATGGTAACTCGGCGATGGTCGAGTGACGCTTGCAGTTTGGTTAAACGGCAGTTTATGGCTATTTTACCTCCATTAATCGCTTAACTACGCACCGTCCGCGCCCAGTAGCAACCAATGACAGAAAACATTAATGCTCATCATTAAAGTGATTGTAAATTATCTGAAGGCGTATTACGTTTTAATTAGATTAATAAAGTTCTCCTTTGGAATATGTATGTTGTAGTAACCAGCATTTCCAATGCACTTACATACCTATACGAAGTTGTTACAGAACTAATAATATTTCATTACAGTATAATTAAAAATAAATTAATTAGTACAGATTTTTTTTAAATAAAATTTATCATGTTTAAAAAATTAAGAAACAGGATTCGGGAATGATAGATGCGGGCGGGCGTAGCGCGTGTAGGTGATTAGATCTGTGAGGTTCTTCCTCCCGCCGCTAGATGTCTGACGCCACGTTCCTGTGTGCGTCTCGGCGCACACCGTTGCGCCCGGCGCCGCCACTCCGCGCTCGACCGCGCTGCCGATCGCGCGCTTCGCGTATATTACTTGCTGTTCTCGCGGACCTTACGATAAACTCGTGACTTAATTTTTTTCCAAACAAACTACTTGGCAACTAGTTTCCAATACGAAATTTTAAACCAAATAATAACTTTTGACCGTATTGCTCATAATAAAACATTATTAAAAACAATTATCAAGAGTAACAGTGTTATTGGACTTTATTTCTTAAAGGTTACCGCTCGTCATCGTCGACGAGTTATAGTTTTTCGCCTGCATCTAGAATTTGCGATATTGCCCGGACGCCTGGCTAAATCGGGAACCGCGTTTGACTTTCATGTGCTGCCTCTCCGTGGTCGCGTGTACGCGTGGTGCGATGTGCCCGCGACGCGCGTGAACTGCCTGCCCCCATTCCTGCTCCCCCGTGGCTTGTCCGGCCGCCACCCTGTACCCTGACAACCATGTCGGGGGCCTCGGCGCGCCCTGCGATGCGGCTGCCGCGTCGCCAGCGCCCGCCTCCGGGCACTCCGCCGGGCCGGCCTGGTGGACCATGATGAACGGCGTCGGCGGCACGCTCTACGAAGAGCCGCATCCCTCGCCCCCAGGAGGCTCACCTCCAGCCGCCCCCGCAGCAGCTCCGCCGTCTGCTTCCAGCGCCTCCCCGGCTTCAGTTGGCTCTAACCCGCCTCAGCCCTTGCACATACCGGCTAAGCGCTATGAGCCCGAGCCTGGTGTTATCAGGCACGCTCAGCAGTCATGGGGATATCCGCCAGATGCGGCTGCGTCTTTCGAGCACCAGTACCCGGCTGGGCCTACTTATTATAATTTACCAGTTGAGAGAGAACGCAAGTCCGCTTTACCCTTCTGGCCTGCGAGTGGAGGAGATTATAAACCCTACGCTGATGGCTGTCATCAAGGTTTTTCGCAGCCGTGCTGGAATTACCCTTACGGGACCCCACGGAGTGACCAGCCCCTTCCTTACGTCGGTGGAGAAGAACGTCGAGCTGCCGTCTCCGAGGCTTCCGGGTTCTCCCACGATGCCTACGGTCTGCGAAACTATGCACCTGATTCTGTATCGAGTGGACCCTATCCTCCGCCGAGCGGGTTACCAGGTCAGTTTCTAAATTTATCTCAGTAATGTTTTTTAAATCACACCACAACCGTACGTTCTTAATGTCCGGCTGTTCAGCGACATGTTTGTAATCTTTTTACAAACTTATCGCACTCTACATATATACATTTAAACATAAATTTTTGCAAACAAGTTTCCATATCCACTGCTACTGAATATTATTATAATATATCGTGGTATAATTAGGTACGAAACATAAATCTTTTAATATATTTGCTTTCAATATGTTAAAATCAGTTTTTGTTGTCATATAAAGTAATAACCAAATTATATTATTTTGTTACTTTTCAGTCTCTCGTAGTAATATATAGTTTTAAACTACTTACCACTAGATGGCGTTATAGCTCCGCACACAGGTTTGCCGCCGATGTGTGCGAGACGCCCACAGCTACATACGCCGCGTGGTATATGCGTCTGTGTGGGTGATATTATCACTGCAAAGCGATTGCACCGTAGCCATTCGTCGCATTCAATGCACTTGTATTTTTACGTATATATTGTAATGGCCGACGTTCGACACGACATTAAAAATTAATTAGGGCATTCGATAACTATTCATGATTGAGTATATGGTGTAAAAAACAGACATATTTTAAACTTATATCCATTTTTGTTATTGATTCCACATACTAGTTTTGTATCATTAGAAGTAAAGTACAAATCAAAACATTTTCCCACACAGCCCCATAAATTTGATGAATGAACGAAACACGTGCTACAAATGTTTAAAAACGAACCGTAAGCACCGTTTTATAGGCAATGTAAAACGGCGCTATACTACCGACAATAAATTAAGTTTACGTAAAATAAAGCGCCAATAAAAATGTATAACTAATAAACACGGTACCTGGTCTTTAACAATCTCTGAGTAGATATCGATAAACGAAATATTGCCCCAATAAATTAATACGCCGATGATGTAATAAAATTACGATTAGGGTTTTTATTCATAGTACATAATTAAATGTTTCGTAATTTTGTTTTTAAGGAAACTTTTTTTACTTACCAAATTAATGCATTTACCTACGTAACCTCCGCTTTACACAGGGGTTTAGATTTACTTCAGGTAATCTGCTACTGAGAGAACTGGTCTAGTCAAACGGTTTATACTTGGTATACACTCTAAAGAAATGCCCATTAAAACCACCTCCGGTGGTTCCAATACGACCTTCAAAGAAGCTCTCTGGGTCGCTTTCACATATTGAGACCTCCAGACTCCGTTTAACATCTGTGGACTAAGTACTTCGCTACGGCGAACTTACCATTTCTCTCTAATTACGTAAACTTACTTTTTTGTATGTACCATGATGTATAAGTGCCCATGGACACTCACAGAACTTGCCAGAAGGCTCGCAAACGATGATTAAAAGGCCTGCCTTTTAATCATCATGTTCGAAAACTCATAAACCTACTAGTTGATCAATAGCCGTAGTACAATTCCTGAATTATGGAAGATATGACATAACTTTGCGTAACATGTATAATATTATGGGCCATTAAATGGAAACAATTGTTGAAAAAGTTAAACGAGGTGTTCGCGTCACTTTATGATTGTTTGTTTATAGCCCACCTGAGTTTGACATTGACTTTGATTTGTAAGGCTTTGTTAATAATCTGATTACTTAAGTGCCTAGTATTTTCATTATAATTCTATATAAAAACATTAAGGTATTACTATTATCAAACAATAAGTCCAATAATAATTAGAACAAGCGCCCTAATTAAGATATAAACTCTTCTTTAAAATCGCCAATTTTCAACGTAAATCGTTAAGTCGTAAGAAAAATATACTGATGTGCGAATCTCGACTCTATGTGTCGGTGTTAAGGAAAAATATTGTCGTGTAAAGTTTTCAAAGATAGCTGACTCCGCGGTCGGGTAGGTAACTTTTATGGGCGAACGGAACCCGCGCTTTTATTACCGATGATCGCTACCTATCCTCTGTTAATTGACAACTCGACTTGTCATTATGTTCTCTTTAAACAATTGCGTTCATGGAAATATTGGATGCGCCAATGGTTGCAAAATTACATCCCACTTGACGTTAATTCATATGACCGCGTTTCGCTTGTAGCAGTGAAGGTCTATTCATATCTGAAACAGCGAGATACAAGTAATATTGTTAATTATTATTTAAGCGCAAGACTGTAAAGCGGGATCTAGTACACACAAATTGTACATTCTGCAAATGCCAATGTGACGTCACCTAAACTAGGTTCTATATTTACGTGCTATTTAAAGCAACTTAATAAAATGTTGCTCATAAAATAAATGACGACGTTGCGGTAGGGCGAACTAGTATATGTTAGTATGACATAATGGTTTTATTTATTGACCGTAACTGCATCAAAAGTAGTGCTTCGGTGTGATTTCCAACACGATTCAAAAGACAATATAATCTACGTCATCACAAAAGATAAATATTGTTACACATTTATTGTGTACTCACAATAAAATGCCTTTATTAGATGTCGTTTAACAAGATAGTTTTTGAATTGATCGAGTAAACTAATGTAATTTAAATCTAATTTATGTACGCATACATAACGTATTGTGTCCAAGTCCTAATTCATAAATGTTACAAGTAATATATTTTACCAGCTTCCTTTACGATATTAATTGCTTTGCATATTCAAAGTATGTTAAATATGATTGAAAGCAACTAATATGTCAGAGCAAAATAAATAATTGGACGTAACTTGAGTGGGTCTTACGACAGTGAGCATTCATTTGTTAGACAATACGGCATCTATTTCACAATGTTCACACAGTACCGGTTTGAATAATAGGAAATGGTGCAGTTGCTTGCAGCGATGCCGAGATCGATGCTCGCATACAAAGTTAGGTGTTAGTGATCTCATCAAAAACACCGCCTGCCCTAATCAATATATGAAGATCTATGCACCATCAATTGTTTATCATATCGTAGTTGCATAGAAATAGTCGCATTACGTGCCAAATAAGTATAACGATATATAAGTACGCATTAGGTCCCTGATATTGCTGCACACGAATCTTTATCAACATTGTTTAGCCGAGTCTCTTTATTAAGTTATAAAAATTCCGTATGAAAAACAACTTATGTCGACTCTTCATGAATACTACAACCAAGCAGCAGCTGTATTAATTTTGTTATGTTTTTGTACAGGCTCGCTGTCGATGTCCGTCGGTGTCGGCGTAGGCTGTGGCTCCTCAAATCCCTTGGACTGGACCGGTCAAGTGACCGTGCGGAAAAAACGCAAGCCATATTCCAAGTTCCAAACACTTGAATTAGAAAAAGAGTTCCTTTTTAATGCATACGTGTCGAAGCAGAAGAGATGGGAGCTCGCACGAAACCTGAACTTGACGGAGCGGCAGGTGAAAATATGGTTTCAGAACAGACGAATGAAGAACAAGAAGAATTCGCAGAGGCAAGCTGCGCAGGCGGCACAGAATAATAACAACAACTCGAATGCCAATAACCACAACCACCACGGGGGCCACCACCACCCGGCACACCACGTGGCCTTGCACCACGCGGCTCCAGCCAAACACCATCAGTGACCCGCGCCCTTCTCTGGGACTTACCCCCTTCACCATGGTATAGCCAGCTAAATCCGCGGAAGGCCCAGTTGAGAAAGACTCAGTGTGTTGTGTTCGATGGTCGTACTTAAGGTTAGACGTCCAATGCTTGTTACCGAGTAGATTGCTGTACCGTGTCGTACGTAAACGGACGCTTTGCCGGCCCGGTGCCGGTGCGCCGCGAGTCCCAGAGAATCTCATAGTAAGATAATCATTGTGTTGTCGATTTGTGTATAGTATTAATTACGAAATGTTCTTGTAATTTTAACGATTTAAGTGTATGAGTAGTTACGATTCCTGATATTGTTAGAAGCTTAGATTAATGCAGATGTATTTGGAAATTATTTAAGTATCAATCGAACGATTTCTAGTTAGTTTTATTGAACGACATTTGTATGATATTTGTGAGACTGCTTTATTGTTGTATTCTTATCATTGTTCGGAAAGTGGTTGTCTGAATCAGTTACATTTATTTTCGTTACCAAATTGTTGAATTACTGGGTTGCTTTTGTGGCAGTTATTGATATTTGTACTGCAATACGGAAGTAGAGTTATTTGTGAGAGAGCAGCCATTTAGTCAATTAAGTACCTTTTTATCACAACGACTCTATTCCCTTATAAATTGTAAACGTATTCGAAAGCAAACACTTTGATCAAATATTTATTACTGTTTAATTTCTTCATTTTGTTATTTTAAATTATGGATTTCTGAAAAGCTTTAACTCGGTTCCAGTAGTTATACATTAAGTTACTGTTATTTGAAAATATTGACGTTGATGTTATAATCAATATTAGGTAAAATGGGCGAGTGCATTATATTGTCCTCTCGTGTACTGTTCGCTTAAGCCGATCTGCAATTTTTTGTTTTAGATATTTTATTATTTATTTATACTATGCAGTCCAATTTTATAATTATTGTATCTTGCTCTACATCGAATAAAATAGAATTTGTACAGTTATAGAGATAGAAGTATCACCTATGGCAAAAGTCATACCAGTTAGATTGTCAATGTATTTAGCTTACATTTTCCTATTTTATCGTATATCTATTAAATGTTCTATCGTAAACTTTGTAGTTCGCTAAATCTTGTTCTAGACATAGGTGTTTTGTACAATATGGCGACCTCATCTAGGTGACCGAATTTCTGCGTACAAGGCATCTTTTAAATATTAAAAGCTACGACAATTATAACCACACCTTATATTTTTAAACAATGATAAATGAAGTAGGTTTCTGAGTAGCGCCTGTTTCATGATCCCTACAAGGACATTATGAACTAGGTGTGGTTATGATGTTCTTCGACGTGTCGATTTTGTAGTCTCTGATTAGGAGTATTGAAAAGCAATTTATCATTATATGGCAAACAATGTTAACACAAGTAAGGATGTAGTTTTAATTCGTAACTTATATTTGAACAGATTTGGAATTACCTATGTCGAAGTCTATTGGTAATCTCATATGGTTAACACATTTAGTTAATATGTACCTAAAAATCTAAAAGTATAAATGAAATACCTTTTCGTTATCGCAGAAATAATTTTCTTTAGTACATATTCTTTTTAGTGTTTTTAAGACAAGCAATATATACACATTTCTCTTGTATATTCTCAATTTTATTAAACTTCACTTAATCTATAGAATAATAGAAAGTGGAAATATTATTATTTTTTTTGCATAAATTCTTGCTTTTCAAATACTCCTATTACATGTAAAATATCTCAGTAGCAGTTCAAGATTAACCGTTCTTGATAACATTGTACAGATAAATTAATTTAGTTATTTAATCACGCCCAAAAGTGTGAGATTTTGATAAGTAACGATGTATAATAATAAAAAATGAATGTTCTCGACAGTATGACGAATTTAGAAAAGAATGTATGAAAGAAAAAAATTAAATATTTCGTCGTGTCCTTGCTTATTTTCTTTAAATTTCTTTCCAGTCTTCACTTTGGTATTAGTAGAATAGGGAGCCAACTTCTACTATTTGATTATTATTTTAAATAATATCCTATTAATTGATGTCATTTTGAAGGAATAATAAGAATATTTGTGCTTATGAATAAGGTACATTGTAGTCCACTTTTGCTTCTTCCGTCTAGACTGAGCTGTAAGGTGATGGTGTCAGTCAAACTGACTACATACTTTGTAGCTCGGGCCCAGCAGGAGGCGAAGAACCCACCAGACCAAGCTTAAGTTAATAAATTTTAGGAAATGGGAGAGTAGACACACCCCTGCTGTATAGTTTCTTGGCCACGGATCTACCTGGTCGAGTGGTAAGTAGGTTATTTGGGGTCCTATAAAAAAATTCGCTGACAATTGAAGGTAGCAGGAAAAGCTAAATTTTTATTGAATTTAAATTACTATCTTGCTCAAACTATAGGTTCATAACTATATTTAATTGGCATTAGTATTTTTATTACAATGTGATAAGTATAGTATGTATAAGTAAAGCCTAAAACGAGTCCTTAGAATTTAAATACACATTATAATTTACACGCACCAAAAAGCTACTGTGGGGTTCACCATTGACACAATGGCCACACCGCAGAACACATTTAAATTAGCAAAGCTTTAAATTAAACAACATTTAAATAACAGATAAAAAATGATTAGCCTTTTATTTTTTTTATTTCCCATACAATTATTATATCTCTATAGTAAAAGCAGTGTTGGCCTAGCGACTTTAGCGTGCGAATAGCCGGGGAATGAACTTTCTTTCTATGTGCGCATTTAACATTCGCTCGAACGGTGAAGTAAAACGTCAGGAAACCGGCTTGCGTTAGACCCAAAAAGTCGACGGTGAGTATCAGGAAGCTGATCATATATATAGCCTATAAGACACATGATCATGAAACAGATTCAGAAATCTGAGGTCCAGACCTATAAAGGTTGTAGCGATTTATTTTTGCAGTAATCAGCTAAGCGAGAGTACAAACAAATAGGTCTACTTTTATAGAAACCTTCTTAATTATGGGTATGTTTCGCTCGCGAGTGTGAGTAAACCTCGCAGCTAAATTGGTGTGTGCGTGCGGTACCAACAGTTGTAACTTCCGCCTTAGATTCTTGCCTGGAAACTGCAGACTTAGTCTCTTCCTTCTCTTATAATCTATACCAAGAACCTGACCTGAAAGAAGCTTGAATAGGTTTACTGATATAGCAGCTCTCTTCTAATGTGTGGTGGGTTAGGACCAGCTCATTGTGCCCAGAACAAATAGAGTCGAGTACATAAGCAGAGATAAATATAATAAGAGTAAGTAGTAAGACATGATTGCACTGATATTCGTGAAGCCACGAGTTTTGGGAACAGGAATCCCTGGTTTCTGTAAACGTTTTTGCATATCTTATTTGTGTTGTGAAAATTCCACATTTAAATCTTCTAATTATAATTTCTTACTAACCAATAAATAGTAATATTAAAAGCTGTATTCGTTCAGTGATTTGTGGAGATAAGCAATCACAACCCAGGATGTACAAAACACGTTTTGAGTACTACCTGTTAAGTAGGTACCTCTCCGTAGTACCTAGTTAGTAAATTAGTAAAACTAGGTAGGTAGAGGTAATCCATATATAATCAGTATTGTAGGAAAAAATACATTAACACCCGTCGTTACTTAAAAGCTAAGTTTTACTTAAATTATTGAGTAAAGGAAATAAATTTTCTAAAGAATAATAAGCAAAAAAGGGGTTTCATTTAAAATAAGTCACTAGATAGGTACTAATTTTACATGACTTATGGGGCGTCAAATTTACTTGCTAAGTTGTACAGATCTTATTATAAGTTGATCAATAATCTAAATTAGAGATAATTTCATAGTTGACTAAAGCTTACACTGGATCTTCTTTCATAGAAACGTAGGAACTTAAACTTCTGTTCTGAGACATATTTGCATTTCGAACAAACCCATTATCACAGATTTAAGCCACGAACGTGTTGTTATACGTATAGGTAAATCTAGCGGCCTGTCCCGGCTTCGCACAGCTGTAACTACATTTATTAAAGATTTGAATACCATTTTTTTCACAATTGTACACATAAACAAACATATAATTATAATGTATTACTATATACTTACTGACTTAAAGCCCTAGGTCCCCTAAGTGGGGCAGAGACAATCCAACGTCGAAAAATAAGCCTGATCGGCCATGGACAGCTCTCTTAATTTCACTCCACGACATTCCAGCTTCCTTCGCCTCTGTAATGATGCTTTGTTGCCACGCAAGGTCTGTTTTGGGCGGCCACGTTACCTTTTGGCTTAAGGATTCCAGTCGAGGGCTTGCTTGGCAAAGTGACTTGGATCCCAATGGCCCACCCATTTCCACTTTCAGCGTTGTATAGACCTGTTAATTGGCACCTAATTGCATAGTTTTTATAGCTTATCATAGAGATTCTCAAAACATTGTACTGGTTTTAGGCTTAATAGCCAAGTTCGACTCAGTTTATATTAGCGCCATCTGTTTTTGAATAGAACTTTAATGAACAAATGCAATTTTCAATAGACAATATAAAACGTTACGCAATTAGTAAAACATTAATATTGATTAAATACGTATAAGTGTCAAATTATTAAATTAATTTTACTTAATTTTATAACAAATGTCACTAATTCAAGAACACAATTGGCTTCGACGATTCGGAATTGCACGCCATCTATGGGAACGTACATTGTATCTAACACTGCTCGGGCTTTCCAGGATACGATATATATATTATATATATTGCTATTTAATCTGTATATACAATTAAAAAGATATAAGACAATCTGACACTTATAACACTAACTGTTTTGTAAGGTTAAGTTTAGTAGGTTTCTTCCAAAATATTAGGCTTGAGGTAACATAAGTTTAATTTAAAACGTCAACTTACCAGAATACATATGCACGGAACGTCTTATAAATATTGAATCTTTGGACAGTTTCAGGACCTGTCTTAAGACTTTTTCTTTACAATTTTTTTTCGCCGCCACGTCTAGTTGTTTGTGGG